GGGTGGGAGAACATGGAGAAGGGGTGGGAGAACATGGAGAAGGGGTGGGAGAACACGGAGAAGGGTGGGAGAGCATGACCTCAGCACCGGCCTCACCTTCACGAGCTCAAAGGGGAACCTCTCGTGGAAGATCCGGTTGATCCGGGCACCCCCGGAGAGCTCCACGGTGTCCACCTGGTCTCCCGACCCCTCGATCCGCTTCTCAAAGTCCACCCCGAACTGCTGGACCATCCTGGGGGGGAAAAAACGGGATGAAAGGGGCTCCCACATCCCGCCCCGCAGGTGGGCTGGGGAAACAAAACTGCCCCAGTTCCTCCGGCTGGGGAGGGAGAACCAAAATTCCCACTTTTCCTGCTGTCCGGGAGGAGGGTCTGCCAGGGCTGGAGGCGGCCAACGCTTCCAATTCCGACAGCAAACCCTTCCCTTCGGAGCAGGCAGGACACGGCAGGCACGGAACGCTGATCCCGGCCCCCAGGGACGCTCCGGGGGCGTTCCTGGGAGAAGCTTTTCCCCATCCCTCCCCTCTGGAGCTGCAGAGCCCGACCACGTGGCTGTTCCAGCTCTTCCCAAGATGGGGAAGAGCAGAGCGATCGGATTCCCGCTCCGGGAGCGCTCCCAGGGCCGGGAAAGGCGGGAAGGCAGAGCCCAGAGGGGCGGGAGGGCCGAGAGGAACCTACTGCAGCAAAGCTTTGGTTTTCCGCGTGGGATCGTCGGGGCGGAAGTTCTTGTACTCCTCCACCTCCTTTTCCAGGGAAAGCAGCTGGCTCTGGAGTTTGCTGCGCAGCGAGGGCAGTGTCTCCCGGATGTGGTTGGTGAGTTGCTGTGGGAGATGGAAGAGGAGGAGGAGGGGATGGAGGAGGAGGAGGGCGCTGAGCCGAGGAAGGCTGGCGGGGCGGCTCCCGCTTTTCCGGGCGGCTCCCGCTTTTCCGGGCGGGAGGGAGGTGGGGAAGGGCCCGTTCCCACCTGGTTGAGGACCCTCTGGAGGTGGGGGGTGCCCATGCGCTCGGCCATGTGCCGGTAGGCCGGGTGGGACAGGAAGAACTTGCGCTCGGCCGCCAGCGCGGCGCGGATGTCCTTCTTGCCGTCGATGTCCTTCTGGCTGCGGTTCACCACCCCGATGTACCCTGGGCGAGAGCGGGGAGAGCGGTTGGAGAGCACGGAGAGCAGGGAGAAGGGGTGGGAGAACACGGAGAAGGGGTGGGAGAACGTGGAGAAGGGTTGGAGAGCGTGGAGAAGGGTTAGGAGAGCA